CCAGGGGGCGGGGCTGGCTGGCATGTGGTGCTGGAGGATCGAACCGCGGTCCCTGTGCTTTGCCAAGCTTGTTTCAAGTAGGTGCTTTAGACCGCTGAGCCATCTCTCCAGCCCTCTTGTTTGTTTTTAATTTAGCACGCTGGCCTCAGCGCCCCGGGCATTACCGGCTCTCTATGGGGTGCTTTGGGTCACTGTAGGGATCAGGGTCCTCCAAGGTCCCCAGGCTCCCTGGCTGGGCGAATGCCCCCTGCAGAGCCGCGCCCCTTGCCCAAGCCCAGGAGTGTTCTTGTTGCTGCACACCGCAGCCCCGCGCCGCCTTCCGAGGGGCAGGGGCTTATTTCCCTGCGTTTTTCCTTTGTGTGGTAAAATGTGCTACCACTTACTGTCCCACCACTTATAAGCGTCCCGTTCGGTGGCATTAAGCACAGTGAGGTTGTGCAGCCATGACCACCATCCAACCCTGCCCTCTATGTGTGGCAAGACAGAAGCTGTCCCCATGAGACACTGACTCTCTCCTCCCTCTCCAGCCCTGGCACCCCTGTGACACTTTCTGACGCTGTAACTCCGGTTATCTTGCAAGTGGAATCCTACAGTATTTGTCCTTTTGTATCTGGTTTCTTTCACTTAATGTAACATCCCCAGAGTTTACATTTTAGGTTTCAGGGTCAGAATTGCCTTCCTCTTCCAGGCTGAGTAATATTCCACTGCATGTCAACCACCTGTTGGGCATCTTTTTTTCCACTGATGGACATGTGGGTTCCTTCTGCCTCAGGGCTATGGTGAACAGTACCGTAGTGAACATGAGTGTGCAAGTGTCCCTTCCAGACCCCACCTTCAATTTCTGACAGTTGTGGGTTATTTGGCAATTCTGGTTTTAGTTTTTTGAGGAACTGTCCCACTGTTTCCATCTTGGTATGCAGGGCATTTCTCCCCGGGTTCTTCACCACACCTTGTTGTTGTTTGAGTTTTGTCTGTCTTGGTTTTGATTGGATTTTTTGGGCCAGGGTGTCACTGTGTAGCCCTTAAACTCCCCATGTAGCACAGGCTGGCTTCAAACTTCATCCTGCCTCAGCCTCCCAAGTGTTGAGGCTCTAGATGTGTAGTCACACCTGACTCCGGGGCTTGGTGGTAGCAGTGCAGAGATACATGACCGGCATCCCTCACATACTGTTCATTTTACCCATTTCAGCTCTACAGTCCAGGGCTGGGGCCCAGCTCCGTGGTCAGCACACGCCCGGCTTGTGTGAGGCCCTGGGTTCGAGCCCCAGCATTGCAAGAAAAAGTCAAGAAGTGCAGTTAATGATTTTTCCTGCATTCACAGAGTTGGGGTCCAGCCCCACAATCACTGATGGGCCTTGTGACCCCCAAAAGAAGCCCCGTACCCCTTCCATACAGTTGCCTCTTCCCGACCCCCGCCCGTGACCCCTGCTCTATTTCCTGCGTGTGGATTCACCTCCGCTAGGCTCCCGGTGCCCACGGGGAGGGGGCGTGGCGTGGTCCCCATCCGCCCATTCCCCTGCGCCCAGCACTTCCGAGGTTCATCCGTGGCTCTTCTGCTGTGAATGCTCTTCTGGGAGGACGGAGCTTTCAGCTCTCTGGGCCGTACTGAGGAGCGGGGTTTCGGGGTCACCGGGCTGGGGCTGTGCTCGACCCTGGAGCGGGCGGGAGGCGCCGGGAGACTCGCGCTAAGTCGCGGAAGTTTCTCTGGCTGAAATTCTCAGCTTGGAATACTTTCGCTTCTGTTTCCCCTAGTGCCAGGCCGGTCGCCATGCGCCACTGTGCCCCGCTATGTGACTGTTGTCGTGGTTTTAATCACGTGAAGATCACGAGCCGGGAGCACGCCCTCCTCCTCCTCCTCCTCCTTCATCCCTCCGCTCCGCCTCCGCCTCTCCATCCCTTCCCCTTTGAGAAAGTTCTGTCTGCCTTCTTTCCGTTATCCACTGTTTTGCTCTTACTCTTTGGGTTGGTCCATAAGGGAGGCCCCGTGATACTTAAGCTTGGTGTCTGATCTGTGTCGCTGAACGTCATGGCCGGGAGGTGCAGCCGCTTGCCGACAGTGCCCCGAGGGCGCCCTTCCCTCCTGCACAGTAGTACTCACGTGTGTACATACCGCCTCTCCGTGGGCGAGCGGCCACTCCCAAGGCTTGGCAGGATGAGCTCTGCACAGAGCTGCTGGGCCCTGGGGGACGCCTGGCCTCGCGCTGTTATGGGGGCTGCAGCTTCCACAGGGGCTTCGGGCGCCCACGAGGGTCCCACCGTGGTCACCTGTGCGTGTCCCCGGCAGGGATGATGTGCAGTGTGCTCTCCCACACACGCCAGCCGTCCTTCTGTCCCAGGGAGCTGTGTGCGACGCGCCACTCGTTTCTGAGCTGGCCTATTTCTCTTTGTATTACCAAGCTGTAAGAATTCTTCGTATAGTCCAGGTGCCAGTCCGAGGTCAGATATGTGCCAGCAGTTGCCTTTCCTCCCAGAACCACCTTTACTCATTCTCAGTAGTGTCCTTTGAAAGAAAAAAAAAAAAAATACCTGTCAAGTGTGGTGGTGGCGCACACCTGTGATCCCAGCACTGGAGAGGCTGAGGCAGGAGGATCGCTACAAGTTCAAGGCCAGCCTGAACTACACAGCAAGACCCTGTCTGAGAAGCAAACAAACACAAAGTTGCAGGCAATGCTCCCTCTGTGGGTCACTCATGGTGCTGCCTCTCCCTTCCCGTCTCTGAAATGGGCACGTCTTCCCGGCTGCAGGCAAAGCTTACGAGATCAGCTATGTGAGGCTGAAGTTCCACACCAGCCGCCCTGAGAGCTTCGCCATCTACAAGCGCAGCCGTGCGGGAGGCCCCTGGGAGCCCTACCAGTACTACAGCGCCTCCTGCCAGAAGACGTACGGCCGGCCCGAGGGCCACTACCTGCGCCCCGGGGATGATGAGCGGGTGGCCTTCTGCACGTCCGAGTTCAGTGACATCTCCCCGCTGAGCGGGGGCAACGTGGCCTTCTCCACCCTGGAGGGCCGGCCCAGTGCCTACAACTTCGAGGAGAGCCCGGGGCTGCAGGTAGAGAACAGTGGGCCGTGGGGCTGGGGTGGGCACTGGGCTGTAGGCTCAGCGACCCGTGAGACCACAGGGCTTCAGCACACGTGCCCGAGGTGGCTGCTAAAGGAATAGGTGGGTGCGGGTGCAGACACTGCGGCTTAGCTACAAGGGAGGCTGAGGCGGTAGGATTACCTCGAGTTCAAGGCCAGCCTGAAATGCAGAGTGAGACCCCATCTCCACTGTACACCCCAGAACTTCTGGGGTGTAGCTCAAAGGGAGGGCACTCAGTAGGGGTGGGGAAGAGACAGGCAAAGGAGGGTCTGCTCGGGCACAGGAAGTACCCTTCCAGCGTCCCGTGGCCCCGCCCTGTGGTCCCGAGCCCTGTGACAACCTCAACTCACTTTTCTCCATGTCTGTACAGATGAGGAAACTGGGGCCAGGGGTCAAAGGCATCTTGCAGGGGGCAGATGACCAGGCGTGTGGGGCCCTGTGCTGGTCTCCCCAGAGCTTTCCGCTGTGCCCATGCTTCCCCGCTGACAGCCAGTGACAGGGCCTGCCCTGCATTGCGGGGGTGAGCTCTGGGGTTCTGGGGTATAGGAGGTGCAGGCCAGCGGACAGCCTGTGGGCTCTGTGGCCCCTGGCTGCCCTGCCCAGTTCTGAGGCCTCCGGCTGCCAGCCTCATGTGACTGCAGAGCGCCCCAACTGTGCGTTTATTAGTTTTTTCTAGTACTGGTAATGGAGCCCAGGACCTGTGTGCACTGCGCCACCTCCCCAACCCTGTTTATTTTTTTATTTTGAGACAAGGTCTCCACAAGTCACTAAATTTCCCAGGCTGGTTTCAAACTTTTTTTTTTTTTTTTTAATGTGTGTGTGTGTGGCCAGCTCAGCCCACCAGGGGGCGGGCTGGCTGGCATGTGGTGCTGGGGGATTGAACCGCGGTCCCTGTGCTTTGCTTAGCTTGTTCTAAGTAGGTGCTTTAGACCACTGAGCCATCTCACCAGCCCCTGGTTTCAAACTTTTGATCCATGATCCTCCTACCTCGGTCTCTCAGAGTGCTGCGATGACAGGCGTGGGCTACCACACCCAGCCTGTTTTGCTAAATCTTATGAATTTTGATGTCAGTGGCAGCGGGGGCCAGCGGCTGCCCCACTGGAGCAGGAGTGCTCATGGCCTCGCGGTTCCTCCAGCCCAGCCCACACGGGGCACTCAGGTTTTCAGCCCTGTGGGGCCCGGCTGCGTCCAGTGTGATGCTTTGGGCAGGGGTGGCCGTTGGCTGAAGCCAAAGCGCCTCCTGTCTCCCTGGGGAGATGAGAGGCTCTCCTCTCGCAGGAGCACTGAGGCCTGGAAGGAAGCCGTGTCCTGCCCAGGCCACATAGGTGACAGCTGGACCCCGAGCTGGCCCACTGGGAGGTCCCCAAGGCCACTGTCAGGTTCCAGGATACTCTGTAGGGAGCCACAAGCTCCTTGTTAACAGTGACAGTTTACTGCATTAGGAGGGTGCAGCCCGAGGTCAGCAGGAGGAGGAAGCGGTGGGGCGGCTCCCAGGGACCAGGCATGGGGCTTCTGCTGTCCTTCTGGAGGGTCCTGCAGGCAGCGCTGGCCCCTCCAGCAGCGCCTGCCCAAGCCCTGATGTTCAGGGCTCTCCACGGTTGGTCACATAGGCATGGCTGGCCCCTGCATGGCTGGCCATGGTCACCGGTCCCTCTGGACATCACACAGTGTGGCCTGAGGCAGACCTGGTGTCAGGTGAGACACTCGAGGCCCTCGAGGCCACCCCCAGGCCACTGGCCAGAGCTCTCCGGGCCAGGAGAGTCCTTCGGCACACAAGCCACTGTCCCATGAACAGTGTCCCCAAGCCATTAACCTGGTTTTGTTTAAGGTCAGTTCCTACCCCAGGAGATTAGAAAATGTCACCTGAGGTGAAATGAAGCCCCTTGGAAAGGACTAGGTCCCCTCTACCCTGTCCCTCTCCTGTCCCCTTAGGGCAGCTCCACTAAGGGCCGGTGGCAGCAGACCTTCTGACTCACTGCCCACTGTGTCCTAGCCATTGTCCCCTGTGGAGAAGTGACCTTTTCAGAACTGTCTACCCTGCTGCTTCCAGGAGGGACCTTTCCCCTGGACAGACACGTGGGAAGGTCCCCAAAGAGGACCGAGCCCTTGGGGTGGGAGGCCCGGAGGGGCATTCCGTGTGGGCACTGGGTTCAGGTTCTATGTCCCTGTGGAGGGTGGACAGAGGCACTGCAGTTGTCACACCAGAGCCGAGTGGCTTCCTGGACCGCAGGACCCATTCCGCCTGCCCTGGCTGCCTCCTTTGTTAAAGCCATTGTTGTGGTGCTAGAGCTGAAGCCGGGGGCTCTACACACTTGAGACAGGCGACCCTCTCTGCCTGGCCCTGCTGCCTCCTCTGCAGCACCTCACTCTGGATCCTCAGATGTGACAAAGGCAACCCAGGTCCCACTCACAGTGAGCCAGAGCTGTTACAAACTGCAAACACTGCTAGGTGTGGGGACGTACCCGTCATCCCAGCACTTGGGAGGCTGAGGCAGGAGGATCACGGAGAGCTCAAGGCCAGCCTATACTTCACAGCGAGACAGAACAACCAACCTGCAACAGCCTTGTCTGGGTAGAGCAGCACCTCAACCTTCCCGGCATCCCAGACCCCCAACATCCGGGCTGAGGAACAGGTACTTCCTCCCCAGCTCCTGCTTGTGTGGTATCACAGAGGCCTCCAGCCTGTCCCGTCACCACTGTGGTCTTGGTCCCGGGCTGAAGGGCAGACACAGGAGCCCAGCAGAGGCTCCCTGATGGGCCGGAGGCAGGGGCCAGGCCTTTGCTCTCTCGGGCGCCCTGTTGGCCCCAGGCAGTGGGCAGACAGGAAAGGCAGGCTGGCCTGTGCTGAGCGCTTGGCCCTGCACTCTGTTTGAACCCCAGCCTGTGGCCAGCAGTGCGTGTGGCCCCGAATGCTGTGCTGCCCAACCTCAGCCTCCTCTTCTGCAGGAGGAGGTGATCAGACGCCTGCTCCTAGCGTGGCTGTGGAGTGGGCACCGTAGGCACACAACAGAGTGGCTGGGACACCTGGGAGCCTTGAGCGCTTAGCCTGGACACTGTGTTCTGGCTGTGGCTCTGGGATCCTCGGCCCCTCGAGGCACCGCAGCCCCTGCAGCCTGCATCCCCCACTGGAAGCGCAGACTCCTGGGCTGGGCTGCAGCCCAGCGGCGAGCACTTGCCCAGAGCAGGCCAGGCCCTGGAGTCCACCTCAGCATGGCACAGGGAACCAAGGGACACAGGAGGCACGCTGGAACCAGACGCTGGAGCGCACCGACCTTTGAGAAGCTCAGTCTTGGGTTACTAGGGGAGTGGTGGGGACTCCAGGTGCCCCTGTTTGTGGTAGCAGGTGCCACACACAGCCTGGAAAGAGGCCCCAACAGTGGCCAAGTCCAGGTCCAACCAGGCTGGGCTCCCTGCGAGTGGCAGGCGCCAGGTCTGAGTCATACTGAGGCGGGAAGAGCAACTTTGCCAGGAGCTCGTTTTCTGTCCTGCTGTCCTGATTGCTAAGCCATTGCCCCTGGGCTGAATTAAAATGCTGATTAATATTCCACCAGAGCCGTGCCTGATTACAACAGCAGGCAGATGAAAATGTCAACCTTCACGTGGGCCCCCCACTTCCTTGCCACACGCTGCCATGGGAAGTTGCTCATTCAACCGGCAGCGAGTATTCGCTGGGTGCCAACTATGTGCCGGGCAGGACCTAGGGCCAGGGCCATAGCAGGGACAAGGGCACCCAAGTCTCACTCTTGTGGGGTCACACTCAGGTGGGAGAGATGTCACCCGGGGCCATGGGGTCTCTTAGTAGGTGACGAGCTGAGAATCCTGCCCTGCTCCTGCCAGGCCTGGGGAGTAAGCAAGGGGCATCACTGGGCCCACCAGCTGTCACCTGTCCTCTAGCTGGGCACAGGAGTGGCCTGGAGAGGGCAGGGAACCCCGCGCCGTAGGGTGTGCCAAGCCCCACCTGCCCCAGTTCCTCATGCACACACCCAGCTGCCACCCGGGCCCCTGCTCCAGCAGCCTTGTGGGGGTGGCAGTGTCCTTGTCCCCTTCCTCCAATGGGGAGATGGAGGTACAGCATAGTGAACGACACCTGGAGGAGGTGCTGCTGGAGTGGGGCCCCGCAGTCCTAGTTCCTGCCCTGTCCCTGGCGTCTGGCCCAGCTCTGCCCAGCTCTGCCCATCCACTGATGGGCCCCACCTCACCCCCAGGCCTGGGTCACCAGCACTGAGCTCCTCATCTCCCTGGACCGGCTCAATACATTCGGGGATGATATCTTCAAGGACCCCAGGGTGCTGCGTTCCTACTACTACGCTGTGTCCGACTTCTCTGTGGGCGGCAGGTAGGTGGGGGTGTCACAGTGCCAGAGCAGAGAAGGGGCTGCGTCAGGACTGCTGGGCAGGTGCAGCAGCACCTCAGGTGACCCGGGGACAGGCAGGGCAGACCTGGCCCCCTGGCTGGCATTGGAGGCCTCTCGCCGGCCGGCTCCAGCCACTCACTCGCAGCTGGCTGCTTCTACCCCAAGAGCCTGCTCCTTGTTCCTGCTGGTGCTGGACTTATGGTCCCCGCCCTGCTTCTCATACAACCCATATCACTACCAGCCCCTTGGCCCCAGTCCCAGGTCCTCCCAGCATCTGACCACAACAGCCTGTGACCAGTCTGTTGCCCAGCACATGCTCGTACTAGGAAGCAGGGGCTGCCTCAGATGCTGGCGCCGTCCTTGTCCCCTTCGTGACCACCTCCCAGCGCCCTCTGGAGCAGCTGCAGCCTGGAGGGAGGCAGGCGATGTCTTCCACATGTGCCTATCTCCGAAGGGCAGGGAGAGACAGTGTGTTCCTGGCTGGCCTCCTGATGTGGCAGATGCAGGGCCCGTGGTCCCCAGGAGCATGTCAGCCTGCCCCAGGTTCACCCAGAGAGCGAGTGGCCACGCACAGAGCCCAGGCACAAGGGCGGGAAGTGCTGCTGTGGGAGAGGCAGAGGCCGGGCTGGAAGGGGGTCAGGGCCGAGGGCCCGCATTCCCATCCCCTGGCTGTGGGAGGCCGTCACTGGAGTTGGCCTGGGGGCTGAGGGGACGGTTGAGCAGAAGGGAGAGAAGGACAAGTCCTCCAAAGCGGGCGGGAGCCAGGCAGCTTGTCCCAGCGGGTTGTGGCCAGCAGGGAGTGAGGGCCCCAGAGCCATTTGGGTGGGAGAAGCAGCCCAGTGAATCACTGGATGGGCTATGGAAGTGGACAGTGAGGACAGTGACCAGGCCTGGGCGTCCATGGTGCAGAGACACCTGGGTGGCTTCAGAGGGCAGGAAAGGATGTGACCCAGTGTCTGTGTCTCACAGTGTCTTTGAGCTCCAGGGAAGGCTGGGTCTTGGGAGGGGATGGTCCCGGAGGACAGTGAGGACCCTCTACTCGCCACCCATGGGTCAGCTTGTACCTCCCAGGGTTACAGATAGAGTGAGCCCCAGGCCCACTCTCAGGGCCTCATGCCAGGGAGCATCTGGGCCCCAGCTGTGGAGCCGGACCACCCTCAGCCTAGCAGCTGGCTGTGCCACCTGCTGCCCTCGCGCACAGGAAGGGACAGGTGGCCCTGCAGCCGGGGGGTGGTCTGGCTTTTCCTGCACTTGGGGCTTCACAGGGGAGAGGTGTCCATGACATCCTCTGGGGACAGGGCTGTGCCTTGTCACTTTCCTGATTGCTGTCTCCAAAGGCCATCTGCTGCCTACCTCACCCCTGCTGGAAATGTGGGGACTGTCTGCCCACCCCGGGGCCCTTGGGCAGGCAGAGCTGCATGCCTTTCCCATGCCCTGTGTCCCCAAATCAGAAACTGCCCTGGGGACCTGGCGGGGTCAGCAGTGCTGGCCCTGAGCTCTAGATGTACAGGGAGTCAGACAGGACCATTTCGGCTTGAGCCCTGCTACGTGGTGACTGTCCCTTTTAAAGCCTGAACCTCGGTTGTTCATCTGAGACACAGTGAGGCCCCAGTGAGGATGACTGGTCTGGGGCCACCCAGCGCTGTGCTCCAGGCTGGGTCCAGCTGCTTGGCACAGGGACAGCGGCTATGTGGGGTTCGACATGTTCCTGCAGCACCTGTCATTCCTGCCTTACTCCTGACCAGGCTCGTGACCATGTGGGTGCCCTAGGACATAGGCCGAGGCTCTTTCCTGCCTTCTCAGACACAGTGGAGGGAGACTGCCTGGGCTCCCCACCCTGTGCCTACCCTATGACCCCCTGCCCTCCTGGCCCCTAAGACCAAGGCGGCTCCTCCTGGGCCTAGGCTGGGGGTGAGGTGAGGCTGGGTGTGCAGAGCTTAGGACACGGTACAGGACTCCCAGGGCGCCTGGCAGTCTTTGTTCAGGAGAGGCTGGGGGCAGCACTGGGGCTCCCGTGGCAGTGCCAGGTGGCTTAGCCCTCCCCCACCCTCCCCTCCCCCGGCCCCTCCTCCCTCTGCCTCCGTCCTCTCCCCAGATGCAAGTGTAACGGGCATGCAAGTGAATGCGGCCCCGATGGAGCGGGCCAGCTGGTCTGCCGGTGCCAACACAACACCGCAGGCCCTGACTGTGAGCGCTGCCTGCCCTCCTTCCAGGACCGCCCATGGGCCCGCGGCACGGCCCAGGCCGCCAACGAGTGTCTGCGTGAGTGTCTTGCAGCCCCGGTGGGGACCCCCATTGCTGCAGAGGGCTGCCCCGAAAACCACCCCCAGCCCAAGCCACCAAGAAGGCACCCACTTTACCTCACAGCCAGGCGCTGCCACCCCGGCCACTGCCCGAGAGGCCAGGGTCCATGCACGGTCACCTGGTCTGCCTGCAGTGCGTTGTCACCGGGCATCACCAGGCGCCACCGGGCCCAGGCTCCTGGCTGACGGCGTAGCTTCTGTGTGCAGCTGGCCTGTAGCTGCCCCCCCTCTGGTGGCCGGCACTGGGACAGGGTCTGGACAACCTATTCCAAGGCACAGGCGCTGTATGCTGTCATCGCCGCCTGCCCCCACCACTGCTTCTGCCTGTGCCCTCCTGGTGCCAGCTCATATGCCCCGAGCCCAAAGCTGCATCCATGAGAGGGACACAGAGGGCCTGCCTGCCCCTCCTGCCGTGTCCTAGCCACAGGCCGGTCCCTGCCCCTCAGGCACCAACCTGGAAGCTCAGGTTTCCTGCCTGAAACCCTCACCCTGACCCTGTCCCCAGCCTCGGTGGCACCTACCCCTTGGATGCCGCTGAAGTCCATCCACCTGACGATGCCTTTCTGGGCAGCAGGTCCTGGCCTCAGAGATGTCACCTCTCTTCTGCTGTCTGTTTCCTTTCACTGTTCTCCCTGCTGCCAGTTCTCTCTACCAATTGCCAGGCATCCTCTCTCTCTCTCTCTCTCTCTCTCTCTCTCTCTCTCTCTCTCTCTTTCTCTCTCTCTCGCAGTACCAGGGATCGAACTTGGGACCTTGCACTTGCCAGGCAAGCACTTCTGCTGGTAAAGCTATCCCCCTGGCCCAGAAATTTCTAACATGCAGATTCAACCCCATCCCTCCCTCACATCCTTTACCCTTTCTCTGGCTAACAAAAGCCAGCTTGGACTCCATAGTGAGCCAGCCTGATCTGCATGGTGGGACTCTGTCTCAAAAACTAAAACAAAAAAAAAGACGGTGCAGCTCTGGCCAGTGTTCATTGGTTTTCAACAATCATGAACCAGTGTCGGGCACAGTGGCCCCAGCAGGGAGGCTGAGGCAGGAAGATCACCATGAGCCCAAGCCTGGTGTGGGCCCCATAGTAAGCTCAAGCCCAGCCTGAACTGTTTAGCAACCTCTTACCTCAAAATTTGTTCATTTAATTTTTAAAAAGAACTATATGGTGTAAACGGAAATACCACTAGTAAAAATAAATGTTATAAAGGGAAGAATGTCTTGCTTCCAAAGAGTGATGATATCCTAGAGTGATGCAAAATAAATGATAAAAGAGAGCTGTTAAGGGGCATTTCAGGGGCGAGAGGACAGTCACGCTGGAGGTGTCGCAGGGCAAAAGGAATAGTGCATCTGTGGCGCCCCCTGGCGGCGAACACAGATCTCACACAACGCGGGGGGGGGGGCGCCCTGCTGCACGCCGGCCCCAGAGCGCTCAGCTGCCCCTGCGTGGTGTCTCCCGGTCCCCACCCGTCACACCGCGCTCTACCACACCTCACACCCCGCCAAGCTCACCTCCTGCCTGAGACACTCTGCTGTCCCAGTCTCCCCTCTCCGGGCCGACGCCTTTCGGCTTCGCCTTCATGTTCGCCATCGTTAGGCTTCTTCCGTGCCCGCGTTGTGATTCGGGGGGATTTACCAGCGGTACGCACCTTGCCCCAAGGATCTTCTTCACTTAGTTTCCGGAAGATCAGTCTCCTTGTCCTGGATCAAGCTGAGCCTGGACGCCACCCTGGGCGCGCACACACTTGCCCTGAGCTGCCTCCGCATTCAGCTTGAGGAGCCGGGCACAGAGCCCTGCTGTGGGGCCGGGTGGCTCACTCGCCCTCTGCCCCTGCCTCCCTCAGCCTGCAACTGCAGCGGCCGCTCCGAGGACTGCACCTTCGACCACGAGCTCTTCCGCAGCACAGGCCACGGAGGCCGCTGCCACCACTGCCGTGACCACACGGCCGGCCCACACTGCGAGCGCTGTGAGGACAACTTCTACCGCTGGGACCTGCGGGCGCCATGCCAGCCCTGCGACTGCCACCCTGCAGGTGAGTGCCCCCCGCGGCCCCCCCCGGCCCTGCCCGCCGCCGCCACCGCTGCTGCCCTGTGCCTCCCTCCCCAGGCTCCCTGCGCCTCCAGTGTGACGCCTCAGGCACCTGCCCCTGCAAGCCCTCGGTGACCGGCTGGAAGTGTGACCGCTGCCTGCTTGGGTTCCACTCACTCAGCGAGGGTGGCTGCAGGTGAGGGCTGTGAGGGCGCACAGGAGGGATGGGCCTCCGCCGGGCCACTCCTGCCTGGGTGTGTCTTATCCTGCAGGAGGAAAGATACCCAGGCCCCGGGAGGCCTCATCCTGGGGTAGGGGGCCACTCCGGGCCACCACTCAGGAGCCCGGTGGGGGAGAAAACTTGGTTTCAGTGTATGACAGTAGCAACCTCATCTGAAAAGCGGTAGAGGGGCTGGCGAGATGGCTCAGTGGTCTAAAGCACCTACTTGGAACAAGCTTATCTAAAGCACAGGGACCGCGGTTCAATCCCCAGCACCGCATGCCAGCCAGCCCGCCCCCTGGTGGGCTGAGCTGGCCACACACACACACATAAATAAATAAATAAAATTTAAAAAAAAAAAAAAAAAAAAAGAAAAGCGGTAGAACTGAGTTTGCTTTGCCTGAAGAGGAGTCCCAGGTACCTGGCAAAATACTAGGTGGCTCTGGCCACAACGCTGCCCCTGAGAAGAGGACCTGACTGAAGGAAGCCTCCTCTCTTCCTGCCCCTTGCCCTGCCCCCAGGATGGCTCAGATGCCCTTCTGTGGTGTCACCACACCTCTTGTCTGTCACCTCCTGCTGCACAGGTCACAGTGCAGGATCTGCGTTTGTCGGCCCTCACTGGACAGTGGGATCAGTGATGGCTGGAGCAAAGGCTTGGCAGATGGTTGGGGATGGAAAGATGGATGGATGGGGGTGGGGGGATGGATGGGTGGGGGTGGGGGATGGATGGGGGGATGGATAGTTGGACGGCCAAGTGGATAAGTGGAGGAAGGGTAATGGAAGGAAGGAAGGAAGGAAGGAAGGAAGGAAGGAAGGAAGGAAGAAAGGAAGGAAGGAAGGAAGGGTGAGTAAATGGGTGGCAGCTGAAGGATGCACGGAGTGGGTGGGCAGGAGGTGACACTGAGGGTGTGGGTGCTGGTGAAGATGCAGAGGGGGTTGGGGACATGTCCTGGAGGTGCTCGCTGGACACCTGTCCCCCACGCTGGCTCTTTGGCAGACCCTGCACCTGCAATGCTGCTGGCAGCCTGGGCTCCTGTGACCCCCGCAGTGGGCGCTGCCCCTGCAAGGAGAATGTGGAAGGCAGCCTGTGTGACAGGTGGGTGAGCCTATTGGCTGTGAGCTGCTGAAGTGACCTTGGGGTCGCAGAAGAGGCGCTGAGGCTGTGGAGTGGGGAGGAGCAGGGGATGGTCCTCGGGGTCAGGGCAACCCTGTCACCCCACACTCTTCTAGGAGCACCTTGGACCTGCCACCTGAGAGGCTCCAAGAGGCTTCAGGGAATGGTTCATATTTTGATCCAGCACTGCTTCCTAAACTGAGAAAATATGTCTGTTTTTCAAGCTCTGAAACCTGAGAAGGCCAGGCATGGTGGCACATGCCTGTAATTCTAACACTTGGGAGGCTGAAGCAGGAGGATCACCACAAGTTCAAAGCCAGCCTGGACTATAAGACTGTGTAGTGATACCCTCTCTCTCTCAAAAAAAAGAAAGAAAGAAAGAAAGTAAGTTAGATAGAAATAAAGAAGAATCCTGGGGAGGAACTGAAAAGAATAGGAAGAGCTTACCTAACACAAATTGCAAATATATGGTACTCAAACCACAGCATCCCCATTCCACACCCACAGCAGACATCACCAATGGACCACTGTTATCACAGTCCCCTATTATACATCCACAGCAGACATTAATAATGGAGCACAGCAGCCTCTACTGTGAGCTCTATAGTGACCTCAGGATCCATCTCAGTACTCTGCTTCAAGAAGAGCTTACTGGGCTGGGACAGAGCTCAGCAGCACAGTACTTGCCTGGCAAGCTCAAGGTCCTGAGTTTGATTCCTGGTATAGCCCTTCTCCCCTCTCCCTAGTCAAAAACCCAAGAAGGCTGACTAACTGAGCTGAGGCTGGGGCACTGCCATTGTGCAACCCCATCGCAGTACAAATGGAGCATCTGAAACCCAGCGAGACAAAAGCATACCCAAGGCCACGCACCCCATAAACTCCCTCTCTGAAGGGTTCAGGAGGCCCCTGAGTGCTGGTGGGGTGCTGGCAGAGGCCATGGCTGGCCTCCTTGGGCACATGCTTCCTGGCCTCGGGCCTCGCATCTGAAGCCTTGGCGGGCGCACGTGGCTGGCCCCAACCTTGGCTGTCTCTCGGGTCTTTCTTCCCAAGGCCGCCCCAGTGCTGGGTGGAGTCTGGCGCCGGACGGGCCTAGCCACGCCCTTGGCTCTGCCGGACTCCCTTGCAGTCCTGAGCAGGTCTGTGCTTCCAAGCCTCAGTTTGCCCACTTGTGAAAGCAGAGCGCTGGGTGAGGTGATCGGAGGCGTCAGAGCCCTCTACTGGGCCCGTGCAGACGCAGCCTTGGGAATACAAACCAGAACTCTGCGTTTGTAACGTGGGGCTTCCCAGGGCTGCCTGCGGAAATGCCCTTCTGGGGGGCTGGCCGGGAAGCAGGGGATGAGCCCGGAGCCGTTTTAGCGCCTGCGATCTAGGAATTGCTTAGATGCCAAACCCTGGCGCTGGTGCGCCATCACGGTGCCTGCCCAGCGTGTGGGAGGCCCGGTTCCGGCCCGAGCAAGCTGGCCGGAGCTCACACCGGGAGGAGGGCCATACAGAAGGTCACAGGAGCCCGGACACGGCTCCCACAGCTGGAACCGCTTGCACAACAAAACAAATAACGGCAGGGGTGCGTTAGAACGCAGGGAATAAGTAACTACAACTCCACGCGGACCTAAGGAGATGATCCAGTGAATAAATAGTTGGGGTAAGGGGACGATGCGTGCTTGCAGAATTTTAAATAATCAGTGTGGAGGGAACGAAGGAAGACAAAGGCAGTGTTTGAACGTCGAAGGAATGATCTCTGCAGGCGGACGGGTGCCAAGCTGAACACCAAGGAGGAGAGGCGGGTGTTTGCGTAGCCTCGGATGCCTCCTCCCGTGCGCGCCTCTGCTTGCTGGGCTGCTGCGTCCCCAGGTGCTCGCTAGCTCCCCCTGCAGGACGTGCGGCGCGGCTCCCTCTTGAGTGACTGCTGGGTCAGTGACCGCCTGGGCGGATTTGAGCGTGGCGGAGGCCGGGAGCGCCTTAACCACGGAGCAGTGGTCGCACTCCCTGCCGAGGTCACGCGGGCTTCGTGTCTCCGCGTGGGGTGATGCGAAAGACACTTCACCTCGGTGCATTTCCTCTGCAAACCCATTACCCCACTCTCATGAGAAGACACCGGACAGACAAGCCCAAAGCGAAAGAAAGGCTTTCTAAAATACACCCGAGCAGTGCTGTTCCTCAAGGTTTAAGATCCCGAGAGGCAAGGACAAGGCTAAGCTGCTAAGTTGCCTGAGCTGGGCTCAAGCTTGGGATCCTCCTGCCTCAGCTTCCCAGAGTGCTGGGATGGGATTACAGGCTCACACTACCAAGCCCAATTTAAAAACTTTTTTTTTGTTGTTGTTTGTTTTTTGGTCTGTTGAGACTGGGTCTCACTATGCAGTTCAGGCTGGCCTTGAACTCACTTGGTAGCCCAGGCTGGTCTCAAGCTTTCAGTGATCCTCCTGTCTCAGCCTCCCACGTGCTAGAATTACAGGTGTGTGCCACCATGCCCGGCCAAACATTTAAAAGCAATATTTAAATGTACTTCTAATTTTCCCGTGACGCTGGTCCACATTAGCCTTGCCGGGACCCCTGGCTATGTCCTTTCCAGGTGGTTCACATGTCCCTCTGGCTTGTCTCGTGTCCCTCCCAGATGTCGCCCAGGGACGTTTAACCTGCAGCCCCACAACCCGGCCGGCTGCAGCAGCTGCTTCTGCTTTGGCCACTCCAAGGCGTGCACGGTGGCGGGCGGATTCCAGGAGCACCACATCGTCTCCGACTTCCGCCGGGGTGAGCGGTGCCCAGCTGGGGAGAGGGCACTGGGAGCAGGACTGGGGCCCCCACAGGCTGGAGGGTGGGTGGGCTCGTGCCAGGGTGGCCTTGGCAGGCTGGTACACGGCACTCTGGGGGACTCAGGCCCAGTCCTCTGGCCCGCACTTATTGGCACCCGCTGCGTGCCAGGCACAGGCTGAGCTGTGGCACACACAGGTCCCCGAGGCCTCGGCAGGTGGATACGCCTGTCCCTGAGCCACAGGTTCTCGATTTGTTCACTGCACAGCCTTCTGGGAAGGTTCCGGAATGGGGGGGCACTGCTGCAGGAGCAGGCAGAGCTTGGGACTCTACATTAAATCAGAGCTAGTGTGTGGGCCCCTCGAGGACCCCACCTGTCCTCTGTCCCCAGGGGAGGAGCAGGGTGCCCCAGGGACAGAGCTTCCATGGCAGGTTCAGGGCGCCCAGACACGGGGCCAGCGCGCCCTCTGCTGGACACCATGCAGAATGCAGGACTCGGCCACCGATGGACCCGCTGTCCAAGGCCCTCCTGCCTCAGCCATCTGGAAGCCAGGGCTTCAGGTTGTCACAGAGTACTTCCCCAGGCCAGGCAGACCCGAGATCCTACTGCCCCCTCAGAGCTGGGCCCTAGCATCCCACACTCTCCACCTCGCACTGGGGAGCTTTGATTTGTGTCTGCTGTCTAGGAGCTGGGGCCTGGCGCGCCAGAGGCATGGAGGGCTCAGAGCACCCCGCAAGATGGAGCCCAGGGGGGGTCCTCCTGGGCTCAGAAGATGAGGAGCTTGCAGCCCCAGGTACCTGGCAGCCCAGGGCAGGGCAGACTGCCTGAGGTCAGGTCTGGAGCTGCTGGGTGTCATTGTTAATGACACAATGGAAAAGAACTCAGCCATAAAGAGAAGAGGTGGAGCTGGGCACGGTGGCGCACACCCATCATCCCAGCACTCGGGAGGCTGAGGCAGGAGGATCCCAAGTTGGATCCCAGCCTGGGCAATTCTCCTCTTATCGAGACCCTGCCTCAAATACAACTTGGGAAGGGCTGGGGGTGGAGCTCAGTGTGAAGGTGCTGGGCTCAGTCCACCATACCAGAAAGCAAGGAAAAGTTGGGGATGCACTGGCGCGGCTGAGTGTGGGCAGGGTGCCTGCCGTGTGTGCAGCCAGCCCGGAGCTCAGGCCTTGCCCCCGCTGCACTGGCTTCTGCTCACAGAGCTCACTTGCTAGTGAGCTGAGTGCAGCTGCCCAAGATCAAGCAGGGCGCCCGCAGGTCCTCAAAGCCTTCTATCTCCTCAGAGCTGTTCCTGGGAGACCAGCGGCTCAGCTACGGGCAGCCCCTCACGCTGACCTTCTGGGTGCCCTCCGGGGGCTCCCTGCCACCCGTGCAGCTGAGGCTGGAAGGGGCTGGCCTGGCACTGACTCTGAGGCCCTCTGGCCAGTCGGGTCCCCGGGAGGCCGGGCAGCCGGGGCCGGCGCAGCTCCACTTCCTGTAAGTGACCCCCGGATGTGCGGCCTGGACATGCTGTAGTGTGCCACGCGGCGTGCGTGGGTCCCCAGTTGCCCACGCGAGCCTCCCACATGCACGCCTCTCCCCGCAGCCTGCAGGAGATCTCCGAGGACGCTGCGCCCCCATTGCCCACCTTCCACTTCCAGCGGGCCCTCACCAACCTGACTGCTCTGTGCATCCGGACCAGTGGCCAAGGATCAGGCTCTTCCGGTCAGTGGTAACTGCGTGGCCCTGAGGATAGTGGGCTGGGCTGTGGCCTACAAGACTGTGTTGAGTCCCCACAGGACAGCCATAACTGTCCCCACTCTGGCAAGACGGGCTCTGCCTGGGTATTTTCTTTTCTTTGCCTGGGTATGTTTTTGAGACAGGGTCCCAATGTGTAGTCCAGGCTGGCCTTGAATTCACTGTGTAGCCTAGGCTGGCCTCCAGCTCTCAGAGATTCTCCTGCCTCAGCCTCCCAAGTGCTGAGATTATAGCCTTGCACAGTGTGCCCAGCTAGGTCTTGTAATCCATAAAAACAGCAGGCATGGTAGCTGAGGATAGAGTGGCGACTGGACCGGTGGGTTGGGGCAGGACAGAGCAGCCTGGTGTCCAGGGTGTGGTCCCCCACTTGGAAGGACACAGCTCTGCGGGTTTCCAGTAAGCATGGTTCCCCTGCTGGTCACTCTTGGTATTGCGCCTGAGTCACCCAGGAGCAGGTGTGGTTGTTTTTAACGGGCACAGAGGGGTCCAGGTTGTCACATCAGCCGGGTTTGCCACCTCCTCTTACCTGGGCCCTTGCAGTGGACAGAGTTAACCTCTGGTAGTTCCTGGCTGCACTAATTACTTACACATACTTTAAAAAGTCACTTCCTGGGCCGACCATATAGCTCAGCAGATTAAAGCACCTGCAAGCAGCTGCAGGGGTCTGCTGTGCCGGCCCCACCCCCGGGGCGCCCTGAGATGGCAACTGAGACTGGGCGTGGTGGCGCACACCTGTAACCCCAGCTCTTAGGAGGCTGTAAACAGGTGGATCACTGTGAGTCCAATCTAGTAGTGAGACCTTGAAAACCCTGTAGAACCTTTCCAAAAAAAAAAAAAAAAAGTCACTTGGTGCATTATACAGGATATACAAAAGGAAAGGAAATGGTATTTTTTTTTAACCCTATGAGCTGGGGTTGGTGACATGCTCCTGGGGACACTGAGCCCAGACAATCATGAGTTAAAGTCCCGAGTGGGCATCTTAGTGAGACTCCAGCCCACAAAATAAAAAGGGCAGGCATGCAGGTCAGCGCCTCCTGCATTCCATCGCCACTACTGCCCAAAAGGAAACCACTGCGTGAACTCAGAGGGCTGGGTTCGGGCGCGCCCGTGCTAGCGTCCATGAGGGGAGGGCCACGGTCCCTGCTGTGGTGAGTCAGCCGGGGCTCAGGAGAAGTGCGCGTGGAAGCTGTGGGTCCCCCAGCGGGCAGCGCAGTGCCGCTGTGAGTGGCAGGTGCCGGCGTGCAGCTGGGGCTAGGGCTGGGACACAAGTGGGATCCAAAGGTGTGGTGAGTGGTTACATTTTAAAAGATGTCATTGCAGTAGAAGACACGGTCACGAATCCCCTGCAGGATGCCTCTCCCCACTTGGAATGCACTAAAGCCATAGTTCTTGCCGCTTGCAGAAGCAGCTCTGGAAATCCTCTTTTGTGGGTGCCTTTCTAAGGTGTGACCAAAACTATGGTGACTGTTGCTGCCCAGCCCCACCTGACAGAGGGCAGCTCGAGCACGCGACGCTGTGGCCTCGTCCACATTATTAGAAGGATCTGGCACCGTGTGGCCTCCGGCTCCTCTCCAAAGTCAAAGTGACCATTGTTAGGGTTTTCAGGGTGGCAGAGAAGCAGAAGTAACAGAAAGGGAGAAGATTGTATTAGCTCCGAGGACGCAGAGAGGACTGATCACCGGGAGACGCGGGTCCTCTCCCCTGAGACAGGGAGGCTAAGATCTTATGGGCTTTTTCCAGGGACAGAATTTGAGGGACAGATTTGGCGATGACATACAAGGAGCTGATCGGGGGCTCCCTTGTGTGTGTGATATCCGGGACGGGGTGGCGGGGAGAGAAGGAGGACGCGGTCCTTGGGAAGGTAGCTGTTGTTTTTGGGATTAAGCCATGTGGAATCAGGGCCATGGTAATTTAGCAGCATGTACTCTGGCCAGAATCTATCAATCATGACAGGGAAACATTTCAAACCCATTCGGGGCACCGAGGCAGCCACAACAGCGCAACTATAGCCCCTCAAAAAGAAGAGTCAGGCCAGCGAGATAGCTCAGTAGACTAAGCGCCTGCCTAGGCAAGTGCAGGGACCGGGGTCCGACCCCCCGCACCACATGCTGCACCGGCCCTGCCCCCTGGGCACACTGAGCCATGACCGAGTCCGGGCGTGGTGGCGCATGCCTGTAACCCCAGCCCTGGGGAGGCTGAACACAGGAGGATCACTACTGGTCTGAGCTGTGTCATGAGACCCTGTACCAAATACATTAAAAAAAAAGAAAAGAAGACCCCAGAACTGCTGCAGGAAGTAGCAGGACGGTGGGGTGAGTGTGTCCAAAGCAAAGGGAAATAGATGAGAGGGATTCCTGGCAAAGTGGCTTCTGCTGTGACAGATTTTTAAATATACTCAGTTGCCCTACAGTTTGCTCGCCCTGATGTGTAAGCGTGTTGTGTGGGGACACTCACAGAGGGCAGCCAGGGTGGCTCATCCGACTGCCGTGCTCACAGTCCTGTGGCAAGCATTCCTTAGCCTCCGTGGTTTGGTTCTGTGGCTTCGCTAGAGAAGGGTGCTTGGCAGAGCGACTGCTCATTAGCGGGGAAGCCACAGTGCCAGGTGTCTGATGTCGCACTGGGTGGCACCGATCTAATCCTTCAGATCCCGTAAGTTTGTCGAGTCGAAGTCGTCACCTGACAGAGTTGCCAGGTCGTTGTCAGCTGGGGCCTTTACACACAACTACATCCTCAGCCCTTTATAAAAGTTGGAGAGCAGTTCTCACTGAGTTGCCATGGGTGGGCTTAAATTTGAAATCCTCCTGCCTCAGCCTCCCAGGTGCTGGGATCATGGGAGCATGTCACCACGCCTGGCTGTCTCAGATGTCCCCAGAGGCGTATTTCTGCCCTTGTGACACCCAGTAGGATGTTGGGAGGTTACAGAGACAAAGTTTCTACTCACTGCAAGTCAAAGTGTCTCTAGCCCCGTGCAGGTCCCTGCTGTCATGACAACCCAAGGCCAGTGGATTTCTGGATGATTCTGCTCCTGGGGAGCCTGTGGCTTAGCTGACAGCCATGCTCGGAGCCCCCTCTGCCTCGGAGTTGTGGTCTCACTGCATGTGCCCCCCTCCTTGTCAGCTCCCCAACAGCCCCCCACTTCCTCCTGTGCCCCGGAAATCACACTTTGCTCTTCCCAACACCTCTAGTCATTCCCTGTAATCCCAGTGCTCGGGAAGCTGAGGCAGGAGAATCGCTGTGAGTTCAAGGATGGCTGGGGCTACACAGAGTTCAAGGCCAGCCTGCACTACATAGCAAGATCCTGTCTCTAAACGACGCCCTCCCAAAAATATAGAAATTTGCTCGCACAGTGAAGTATGTTGGGGCTTCTTTCTTCTGTTAGCAGTTTCTCGGCCACTGCTCCTTGGCATCTTATAGAAAAGGTTGATTCTCTCTGCCCACTTCGTAGGAGTCCATGGCACAGATGCCTGCGGGAGGGTCCAGCGGGCCCCCATGCCTGGCTCACAGGAGGGATGCACAGGGCCACAGGAGGGGGACCTACCTGGTGCCTGCATCGCACATGCGTGTCTTCACAACAACACCCTGGGGGAGAAACATTAGGCAAGGAACACGCATCTTGGATGTCGGGAGAAGCTGCCAAGGCTCCCCTCAGAAAGGCTGTCCCCGGCTCTGCTGTGATGAGTGGCAGCGTCTGCCCGCCATCTGCCAGCCGCACTCGCAGAGCCTTCATTTTAATATTTTGCCCAGAGTTGACAGTTGGTCTGTGCATGTGTGTGTGCATGTGTGTGGGTGCCTGTGTGTGTGTGTGTGTGCACATGTGTACCTATGTGTGTATGCTGGTGTGTTTGTGTGCGCATGTATGTGCATGTGTATGCCTGTGTGTGCATGTGTTTGTATGTACATGTGTGTGCATATGTGCACATGTGTACCTTGCATGCATGCATGTATGTGTGCTCACATGTATGTGCCTGTGTGTGCGTGTGCTCAAGCACATGTGCTTGGAAAGGCTGGTCTGATGGGCACCTCTGCCCCTGGGTACCGGCAGCAGTTCCTGCCACTCCGCATTCCCACAACCACACAGGGCTGTTTTCCCCCAAATGTGGTCAGATTTATTTTCAAAATGAGCACATTGTTGTCTACTTGGATAGAAAATGTTCGTTTTCCTTGCAAATAGGAAATTTCACTGTCATTTCTATGTCAATTAGCTTCTTTTCAATTGAAATCCTCCCATTAAAAGAAACACTGAAATTATTGTGGTGTTACATTCGTTAGTGTCAATTCCTTTTAAGTCCCTTAAAACCTTAGGAGGGCTGGCCAGATAGCTCAGTAGATTAAAGTGCCTACTTAGTTCATCCCTGGCCTGCTGCTGTGCTGGCCCCACCCCAGGGCGAGCTGAGACAGACATTGATTTGGACTGAGCGTCATGGTGGGTGTCTGTAATCCCAGCACCTGGGAGGCTGAAAAACAGGAAGGATTATTATGAGTCCAATCTGTGTAGTGAAACCCTGTAGACCCTGTACTAAATACGCTTAAAAAAAAAAAAAAAAATCAGGAAATACACTTTAAACTTTGTCCAGAGAGAGCACCCGGCTAAGGGCAGGCCCTGTGAGTTCCCCACTCCCCAGTCCTCCACCATAATGGGTCTTCTTTTCTTTTTTTCTGAGACAGGATCACACCATGTAATCCAGGTTGGCCTCAAACTCATGGGGATCCTGCTGCCTCAGCCTCCTGAATGCTGGGATCACAGGCATGTGCCGCCACACCAATATATAATTTTTTTAAAAATGTGTTTGGTACAGGGTCTACAGAGTCTCACTATGTAGATCGGTCTCATGGTGATTCTCCTGTTTTCAACCTCCCAAGTGCAGGGATTACAGGTGTGCGCCACCACACCCAGTCCACTCACCATCTCAGCGCGCCCCAGGGGCAGGGCTGGCACAGCATGCCAGGGATTGAACCCTGGCCGCTGCGCTCTGCCTAAGCAGGCACTTTAGTCTGCTGAGCTATCTGACCAACCCTATAATTGGTTTTCAAGACGTTTTCCAGTCTGGGGTCTGGGGATGCTTCTTTGTTACCTGAGTTGATGTATCTTTAGTAACCCAGGACAATGGACACTTCCCCATGAGACTGTCACCCACCTCCGTTGGTGGTGCGGGTGGAACTCAGGGCCTCGCGGGCGCTGCGGAGGTGCGTCACCACTGGCTGGGTGTGAATGAAACGCACGATAGTATTTAAATCTAAAGAAACGGTTCGCAGTAAAAGGCTCTGATCGTGACGTCTCGCCGCTGTCTGCAGCTGCTCTGGGTCCCCTTTCCTGAGGGTCTGAGCTGCCTGCTAGGGCTGCCTCGATGTCCTGACCAGTCATTTCGACTTTGGGGAGGAGCCTGAAGTCACATGGTGCCAGATCCAGCGAATAAGGTGGACGAGGACGCAGCGTGGCGCTCTGAGCCGCCTTTCCGTGGAATGGTGCCCAGCGGCGGCACTCACGGCAGTTTTTATGACACCGCACAAGGGGAAAGATTTTCAGGGGGTTCATGGGCGTGTGCCTTTTACTGTATCCGAGTTTTAAAAATTTCAACAATTGCCACATTTTTTATCATACCTCATCCACCTCAGGCCCCCTCCCCGGTTCTTGTTCTGTAAATCTGACTGTTCAAGAAAAATCCCAGCCGCCTCTAGATGTGGCCTGTCACCCTGTGGAAGGGACAGGAATACTTGCGAGTCATGTTCTCAACTGCCGTCTCTCCTCGCCCTGCAGGCCAGGCACTCCTGAGTGAGGTGCGGCTCACGACTGCTCGGGCCCAGCAGGGACTGTCCCCGCCAGCCACCTGGGTGGAGAGTTGCTCCTGTCCCCAGGGCTACACGGGCCAGTTCTGCGAATCCTGTGCTCCGGGATACAAGAGGGAGACCCTGCGGGGGGGTCCATATGCCAGCTGTGTCCCCTGCACCTGTAATCAGCATGGCACCTGTGACCCCAGAACAGGTGAGTCCCTGACACCCCACACGTGGCCACCCGGGCTGCAGCAAGCACTGCACAGGCCCACGTGGGGCAGCCTGGCATGCATCCCAGGGGCACTCGGCCATGCTCAGGCCCCTGCCAGGGCATCTCCTAGCTTAATTACGTAGCCACTGGAAGCTGCACATCAGCTCTGTGCGGAGGAACGTGTGTGCATTGGTGAGCCCTCCAGCCAGCCACCCCGGGCTGTCTGTCCTCATGCCCACCCCTTCTCTGGATGAGTCTCTTCTTCCAGGAGCTCCGTGAAGACCTCAGGGACCCTGCCAGACATTCATGGTGCAGAAAGGCAGAAGCTGCCAGGCACAGTGAGGCACACCTGCAAATGCAGCACTTGGATAAGCTTTTTTTCTTTTTCTTTTCTTTTTTCTTTCTTTTTCTTTTTTTGCATGTAGTGCAGGGTCTACAGGGTCTCACTACACAGATCGGACTCGTAGCGATTCTCCTATTTTCATCTTCCCAAGCGCTGGGATTACAGTTGCGTCCCACCATGCCCAGTCTCAGTGGCCCTCTCAGCACGCCCTGGGGGCGGGGCTGTCACAGCAAGCAGGGGAATCTAACCTCTGACCCCTGTGTCTGCCTAAGCCGGCACTTTAATCCGCTGAGCTATCTGGCAGGCCCTAAATGCAGCACTTGAGAGGCTGAGGAAGGAGGATTGCCATGTGTCTACGGCCAGCCTGAACTGCAGCCTATTTCAAGAACAAACAAAAATAAAGGGCAGAGACATTCCTGTGACAGGTGACCACAGCAGGAGGACATTCACAGAGCCACACGAGGGACAGCAGCTCCCGGGTGTCAGCCTGGAGCCACAAACATGCCAGCCTCACCTCTTGGCGGCTGGTGGACGGGAAAGTCACTGTCCTTCCTGAGCTGACCTGCTTCCTGTGCGGTGGGACAGGGATCTCTGCACAGTTCCAGGCCCTGAAACAACAGCCCGTTCACCCTGAAGCTCAGTGTCACTAACTGGGCGAGCCCCGGGGTCTGCCCTGGGGAAGCGCAGTGACCAAAGTCCTTACCTGAGGTCACCGGGAAGTAGCAAATAACATCACCAGCCCACTGCTCAAGCATCGCACCACACTGTTGACTCCTGCACCATTATTGTCCCATCCTGGAGAGGGACCTGAGGTTCAGTGAGTGCCATAGGCCACCTCCCGCTCTCCTGCCCGCCCAGAACAACTGCTCACTTCCGGCTTCCCATAGCAGAGCACACAGGGAGACCGGGCTCAGGTCACGCAGGCCCCAGGTGCTGAAGGGGCTGGACGTGGGCCTACACACCCACCCTCGGCCCTAAGGCAGGTGGTGCTGGGCACCGAGGAACATGGATGTCCTTGCTTCCTCTGCCCTTGGCAGGCATCACCAATCTAACCCAGATGAGGCTTCCCTATCCTCCCATGCCGACCCCAGGCAGACCCTATTGAGGAAGCAGAGTTCTCTCACGGGATGGGACCAGTGTGCCTCCCCGAGCTTTGCCAAGGCTTCCTGCAGAGCATGGACACATCCTCATCTGTGATGGGGCAGAGCAGCCACCACTGCTCAGGCTAGAGCCAGGAGCCTCTACGTGCTGCCCACTGCCTGTCTCAGCACAGTCAGGACAGCCCCAGGTGTCCATGGACCCCACACAGGGTGAACCTCTGCATGGGGATGCCAAGGTTGTGCAGCTCTGTGCCTCCTTTCAGGTGAGTCCCTCTGCCTTGAGGTCCCTTGACTAAGAGGACACAGGAAGCAGGGTGGCAATACCCACTTGTCATCCTAGCTACTTGGGAAGCTGAGGCAGGAGAATTGCAATGGCCAGGCCACCCTGGGTAACTTCGACCCTGTCTCTGAACAAAAAACAGGAAGGACTGGGGAGGTAGATCAGGTAGAACACCTCTGGGTTTGATCCCTGGTGTCACAAAAAAGAAAAACGATGCTGGCTGTGCCTTCAGGTGGTTTGGAGGCAGCTCTGGAATGCGAGCCAGCAGTGAGCACAGAGATGCTGGCGACCTGTGCCCGGGAGTTGGGGGCAGAGGGAGTCAGGGGTGGGGGCACTATGAGCACGCGGCCTGCCTGAGCCCGGACAGAGCCCTTTGAGGTCGGTGCCACCGTGATTCCCACTTTCTGGGTGAGAACATCGCGGTGAGAGCTATGGACGGCTCGCTAGTAGTGGCTTTGGACCTGGGGTGTTTGCGTCCCCTGCCCCACGCCTGCCTGGGAGGAACTGCGTGGCCTCTTTGCAGGATACCCACCCTCTCACGTCCAGGGCTCTGGCCAGTGGGTGTTTTCTTGCCCCTCAGGGACCTGCCTGTGTGACCACCACACCGAGGGCCCATCCTGTGAGCGCTGCTTGCCAGGTTTCTATGGCAACCCCTTCTCAGGCCAAGCCAACGACTGCAAGCCCTGTCCCTGTCCTGGCCAGTCGGCCTGCACCACCATGCCAGGGAGTGACGGTGAGGTGGTGTGTACACACTGCCCCCCGGGCCAGAGAGGTGAGTGCCACCGGCCCTGGGCTTGCCCCAGGCCTGATTCTACCCAGGCCCCAGGGTTGGGTCCCAGCCTTGGGGTGTGGCCGGTGGGGGAAATCCCAGCTTAGGGGTGGCAGGGATGACTTCCAGGGACACTTGAGTCCCCTAGTCAAAGCCACAGCCCAGCGAGGGGTGCTGTCACAGCCCGGGGTACATTCCCATGAGTTCTGAAAATGCCATGCTGCATCCTGGCCTGGTGCAGCCAGGTGTCACGGCTTCAGATAGAGCCCGAGGGCCTGTAGCCCTGAAGGGTTCCCTGGGAAATTTTGACCCGCGGCAAAGGTGGAAAAGCTGGGACCTAAACTTACAGCTTTCAAGCTGGGCGTGGGGCCGCTTGCCTGAGGCAGAGGATCCCTGGAGCTGTCAGCCTGGCCTACACAGTGAGACCCTATCTCAAAACACCAAAAAAATCTTTCAGCTTTTTAAAAAAATGCCATCAAGGGCCACAGAGATAGCGAGATCGCTCAGCAGTCAGCGGCTGCCCAGCAAGTACAAGGACCCACATTCGATCGCCAGCTCCGCATGCTGTGCCAGCCCTGCCCCAGCGGCGCATGCCTGTAACCCCAGGGCTGGGGAGCCTAAAACAGGAGGATCACTATGATTCCAAGTTGCATCGTGAGACCCTGTACCAAATACATAAAGTTTTGTGTATTTTTTTTTTTTTTAAATGCCATTAGATAGCGTGTGAGGGAGACCTCCCTGCCCTCCAAATTCCCAGCACTGCCCCCTTTCTCATTCCTGCTGCAGGACTCTGGACTCTCCATGACATCTGATTTTTTTTTTTTTAATAGCTTTTGGGATATTCACATGCTCAACAATTCACCCACTTACAGCACGCAATTAAGTGGCTTTTTTATATTACGTTATTAATTTTTCATTGTGGTAAAATATGCGATATAAAATCCTCGGCTTTCACCATCATTTTGCTGCGTGTTCCTCTCCCTCGCCCCAGGCAGAGCCTCTACCCCATTAACTGATGCAGCCGCTTCCTCCCCGCCTCCACCCCTGCTCCTGCCCCTGCCCTGTGACAGCGCTGTCCTTTCTTTCACGCTCTCCCGGAAGCAGGCTCCTGCTGCATCCTCCTGTGTCTGGCTGGACTCGTTAGCTAACGCGTTAATATTATCCCTTAGTTAATGCAGACTGATCAGGTCTGAAGTCTCCCAAATGAGCAGAGAGTGAAGCCTTAAATACAGGAGCCAGGGGTGTGATGTTAGGGCTCCAGGAGGATCAAAACCACCCTCTCACAGAATTCGAGATTCTCTGGGGGCTAAGACCAAGATCTCACAGAGGTTTGCTTCCTATGAGCATGCCGTCTGCACACGGGGGCCTCGGCCTGGGGCAGACTCACAAGTAAACGTGGAAGCCAGCTGGTCAATTTCAGCCTGCTCAGCGCTGGCTTCATCGTGGTCTCCATCAACTAGCCTTGCTGCAGCCAGTCTGCCCGCATTCCAAAGCCCTGCTTCCCAGGGGGCCTTTCTAAAAGCAGGTCCCCAGGGCCCTCCAGCCGCAGAGGACAAGGCAGGGCAGCCTGCCCCCTGCCCCAGAACCAGAACCAGAACCAGAACCAGAACTAGGTCCCCAGCATTGGGGAAACCAGGGATTGAACTCTGGCTCCTGCGCTTGCCAGGCAAGTGCTTATTCCACTGAGCCATCTCCCCGGCCTGCTTTTTTTGTCTTTTTGAGACAGTTTTATTGTGCAGTTCAGCCTGGCCTTGAACTCACTTTGCAGCCCAGGCTGGTCTCAGGCTCTCCCCAATCCTCCTGCCTCGGCCTTGGCCGCCCAAGCGCTGGGATTGCAGGCATGCGTCACCTCACCTGGCTATCCCCAGGGCTTTTTATCTTGAGACAGGCCCTTGCTAAGTCTCTAAATTGCCCAGACTAGGCTCTGACTTGCAATCCTCCTAGAAGGCTGGGCTTAGAGGCCTGTGCCGCTGCACCCAGCTGACAACCACTATTTTTTAAACTATGAAATTAGAAAAAAAAAAATTTAAAAAAAAATGAAATTAGTATGTGCTCATCACAGGGGAAGCGTGCAAATACCATTCTCTGGCCACTCTGGGTTCCACGGCTATATTTGGGTCTCTGGATCCCCAAACAGCTGCTTCCCAGGGACACATACAGAGGGGGTGTGATTGCCAAGGAGGGCGATGTCCACTTTTGTGCCCTTGGTGTCCTCCTGGGCCTCCTGGCTACCACCTTGCCAAAGCCTCCTCACATCCCAGCTCTCTGTGGTTCAAGATGTCCGACCCCGGAGCAGCCCAAGGCAGGATGGAAGGGGGACACCGAGTGTCCAGGGGAGCACAGAGGTAAAGGGGCCAGAAAGTGGGTGACAGGAAGGACAGGGATGGATGGAGACCACAGAGAAGCTGATGGTAAAGTCATGGTCAAATGATCGAGATGATGGTGGCGGAGGGTAAGGTCATGACCAAGGTGACGACAGGAGGAGGCGGGCAGCAGTGGCCCTGATGATGGAGAGGATGACCGTGGGAGGGGCAAGATGGCAGCGGGGGCCGGGCATGGTGGCAGCGCACACCTGTAGTCCCAGCACTGGGCAGGCTGAGGCTTGAGGAGCGCCCTAAGTTTGAAGCCAGTCTGAGCTCCAAAGTGAGACCCCATCTCAAAAGACAAAATGAAGAGAAAAGAAACAACTGCCCTGAGCTGTCTCTGTGGTCCCGGTAGGCGCTGCGGATGGGAGCCTAGAGTTCAGGGTGGCACTGCAGCTTGCCGCAGACCACACGGCCAGGGAGCAGCAGGCAAGAACCTGGCCCAGGGGCTCCCTCTGCCCCAGGGAGGCCTGGGCAAGGCCTGCCTCGCCAACACTGCTCACCCCCGCCCTTCTGCACAGGGCGGCGCTGCGAGAGCTGTGACGATGGCTTCTTTGGGGACCCGCTGGGGCTCTCTGGAGCCCCCCTGCCCTGCCGCCGGTGCCAGTGCAGTGGGAACGTGGATCCGAACGCCGTGGGCAACTGTGACCCCCTCTCTGGCCGCTGCCTGCGCTGCCTGCGCAACACGACCGGGGAGCACTGTGAGCGGTGTCGCGAAGGCTTCTACAGCAGCGCCCTGGCCCTGCGGCCAGCGGACAAGTGCACGCGTGAGTGTCTGCCGCCTGCACCCACCAGTAGGGCCAGCGGGGCCCTGTGTCCTACGCTGGCTGAGGTGCACAGAGGGGGCCGAGGAGTCCTTAGTCCAGCTTCACCCTCTCCCCTCCTTCTCTCCACAGAGCAGGGCCTTGCCCTTCTTCAGGGTCCCTTTCAGCCCCTACATCTTAGAAACTTAGAAACAGGGAGTTCAGGTCTCAGCTAGGGGCCCAGTAAGTTGTTCAGTTTAAGTTCAAATTTGAGATCCTCCTGCCTCAGCCTCCTAGAGTGCTGGGATTCCAGCCCTGTGCCACCTCCACTGTTTCCCCAACAACAGAGCAAATGGCTGAGGCCTGAGCCCTTTCCCTGAGGAGCTCATTAAGCATAATCTCTGGGGCTCCCCCTGTTTATCAACCTCCTCAGGATGCCCTGTTGTGGACCTCCCTACATTATTCCCTGACACCCTGCCCTGCTCTCTCCACAGCCTGCAGCTGCAGCCCGGGGGGCTCTGTCAGTGAGCAGACGCCCTGCGACTCAGCCACCGGCCAGTGTGCCTGCCTGCCCCACGTGACTGGCAGAGACTGCAGCCTCTGCAGCCCTGGCTTCTATGACCTCCAGCCAGGCAGAGGCTGCCGCAGGTGGGCGGTGGGGCTGCAGCAGGCTGTGACCTCTCCAGGGCACATTTGTCCCCTGAACCGATTACTTGGTGGGGTATTCCATGGGGCCAGGGCTCCCTTGGGCCCTGCGGAGGCTGGGCTGGGAGTGACCTGGACAGCCTCAGACCTGTCCCTGCCCCTGTTACAGCTGTGCATGTCACCCGCTGGGCTCCCAGGGGAATCAGTGCCACCCTGGGACCGGGCAGTGCCACTGCCGCCCCGGTGTTGCAGGCCTGGCCTGTGACAGATGTCAGCCAGGTTTCTTTGGCTTCTCCATCAGGGGCTGCCGAGGTAAGCAAGCCAAGCCCAGAGTCCACAGGGAACAAGGGCGGGGGCCAAGGTCCCCCTGCAAGACGGCCATGGTGCTGGAGAGGGGATGGCAGACGCCTGGGTGGGGGTCTGCACGTGGACAGAGAAATGGAGCACAGGACACTGTGGGGAGGAGTGGCAGGTCCCAGTAGCGGCTTTGGACCGTGTCCCTGGAGCTATTGTTAATCCCTGTGTGTCTGGGCTTACTGCGTCACTTCTGTGAGCCTCAGTTTCCCCAGTCATTGGTTGGGCTGCACTGGCAGTTCCTGTTCCCTTAGGCCCTGGTTCTGATTGGCATCTGAAGAGAAGGGCTCAGGAATCTGCCTAAGACCGCCCCAGCATCCAGGGGTACCAGACCTGGGGGTGCGGGGCTGGGGACTGTGCAGGTAGAGCCCACGTATGCACCATTGCTGACCCCCAGCTTGCAGGTGCTCCCTGCTGGGCGCCGCCCAGGCCCAGTGCCACGAGAACAGCACATGTGTGTGCCGGCCCGGCTTCGTGGGCTACAAGTGTGACCGCTGCCAGGACAACTTCTTTCCTGCAGCAGGCGGCACACACTGCCAGGAGTGCCCGCCCTGCTACAGCCTGGTGAAGGAGGAGGTGAGCTTGCTTGGCCTCGGCCCTGGCCCTCCATTCCATGCCCCTATGTGTGCTGGCTCTACGTTGGGCACTGGGAACTCACAGCGACTCTCCTGCTTCAGCCTCCCAAACACTGGCGTGACAGACATGTGCCACCACATGTAGAATTCAAGTAGAATTTTGAGGATCGAGGTGGGTGGGTGGTGTGGAGTGAGGAGCTGGGGTGCTGGGGTTGGCCCAGCAGGATCCCCTCTCCGAGCCTCACTCATTTTGCACCAAGGCAGGGGCAGCCTCAGTGACCCCCTGCTCCCTCCCACTTCAACCCTGCAGCCCCTTGCTGGCCACAGTGGGGCTCCCAGGCACGTGGTAGACAGAGAAGTGGCCTGTGCTGAGCATGGGGTTCCCTTCCCCCAGGCACGCGGGCCGCCCTGTAAGTACAGCTGCTGAGCCTTATACAGGACAGCAAGCTTACTGGCACCATGAGCGTAAATAAATGCTCAGCTTTTCCCGGTTTTGCTCCCAGCTGGGTTCAGGTCAGATTTTGCCATCAAAGCTGGGTATGGAGGCACATAAGCTGGGTATGGTATGCCTATAATCTCAGCATGCAGGAGCCTGAGACAGGAGGAACTCCATAAATTTGAGGCTACATAGTGAGGCTTTGTCTCAAAAATATAGAAGAGGTGTTGGGGAGATAGCCCAGAGAATAAATGCTTGCCTGGCAAGCGCAAGGGCCTGGAGGCTGGGGCAGGAGGAATGTCCCAAGGCTTGGGAGGCTGAAAACAGGAGAATCAGTATGAGTCTGAATATGTAGTGAGACTCTGTAGACCTTATAGACCCTGTCCTAAATACATTTTTAAAAAGCCCCAGCCCCCCACCCCCCAAAAAAAAACAAAAAAAAAAACCAAACTAGGACCTCTGCATTGAGGTCTGGTATAGAACTTGAAGAAGAAAACCCAAAGGGCAGGCCGGCCTGCCCTGCAGAAACCAGGTGTGACACCAGGTGGGACTCACCAATCCTCCACACATTTCCTTCCCTGTCCCCACAGGTAGCCAAGCTGAAGGCCAGGCTGACCTTGATGGAGGGGTGGCTGCAGGGGTCTGACTGTGGCAGTCCCTGGGGTCCACTAGACATTCTGCTGGAAGACACCCCCCGGGGGGACGGCTACCAAGGTCGCCACCTGCTGCCAGGTACAGAGCAGGGCGGGTGGGCTGCAGCCTTCTGCCTGCTCTCGTGGGGTACAGTCCTGTCTCTCTTGGGCCTCTCCTGGGGGTCCCTGGTCCACTCACCTCTGTCCTGTCCCCAGGCAGCCCTTGCCAGTTCTCCTGCACGCCCTCACTCTGCACGCTGGGCGGCCCTGTCCAGGTGCTGAATGGGCAGAGGCCTGTCCCTCTGTGTGTTCTTGACCTCGGTCCCTCTGTGTGTTCCCAGCACCCTGCGTGGTACCTAGAAAATAACAAGTAACTAAGGGAAAAGGAGGTGTGTCCCCAAAGCCAGGTGGAACGTGGCTCTGGGATGCAGAAAGGGCGAGACCGCTGAAAGTGAAGGGGTTGTTTTGTGAACTTGTGTGTTCAGAAGCACGCAAGAGCGAGCTGGGCACATGGTACCTGACACGCACAATTTAAAGGAAGAGAGGTCTATTTTTGGCTCGTGTTTCAGGCCATGGTTGGCTGGTCCACAGCAGGACTGCATGGCAGAAACAAGGGGCTCACGTGTGGGGCACAGGAAGTAGCAAGGAGCCAAACCCTTCCAGATCCCGCCCCCAACGAGCAGGCCCCACCCCACAGAAGGCCACGCCCAAATGACCAGACCACGCCCGTTGGCCCGCCTTTCGCAACCAGGCCCTGCCTCCTAGCAGCAAATCCGCTCTAAACCCATAATCCAGAAGCCCCACAGATAAACACATGAGGCTCTTGGGGGACATCTAGGTATAAACCTAATAGAGATATCGAAGAGAGGAGATCTGCTGGCACATCTTAGGTGCCCACATGTGAACCTCATTGGGAATTATAGAGCTGACCTGGGCAGGAGTTCTTGCTGTCCTAACTCCCAGAATTGCTTGTTGTGGCTCTAAGCAGGCTTGGGTCCTTTGCAATCCCTCATGCATGACCAACTTGCTGTGTGGGACCCAGGGTCTTCATTAACCTTCTCACAGGCTCACCCTTTCCATCTGTAGAATGGGCAAATTCTTCTTTGGGATGTACTGTTGGTGCCCAGGGAGCCCGGGCTTGGGGACATTCATGTGGCATCTTCCCTGCTCTGTGACTCCAGACCGTGGGCTTCCTGCAGGGGCACGGGAAGCCCTCCTGGGGCAGCTGACCGGCCTTGAAGGTGCTGTGAAGTCCACCCAGGAGCAGCTGCAGGTGCTGAGAGAGGCCGCTGGCTGTGCCCAGGCTGCAGCCCAGAAGACCTGTGCCCAGCTGGCTGAGCTGGGGTCAACCCTGGAGTCTGCACAAGACGAGATTCTTCACGCAACTAGCATGCTCACATCTCTGGTACCAGGGGCCCCCTCTCCCGTTGAGCCTGGTTTGGGTCTATACCCCAGCTAGTGTCACCTAGTCACTTAAGCCTGCCTCCCCTCTACGAGAGGCTGGGGGGTGTCATCTGCACATTGGGGGTCTCACAGTGCTGCCTCCACACAAGGCACAGGAGGTGGCAGGCAATGACACCAGTAATTCTCTGTTTAGGGGCTCCACACCCCGGATGTTTACTCAACTAGCTTTGTGCATTTATAAAATTACCAGCAGTAGCTGGGTGTGGTGTTGTGCACCTGTAATCCTAGCACTCAGGAGGCTGAGGCAGGATTGCTGCAAGTTCGAGGCCAGCCTGGGCTGCCTAGTGAGAGAACCAGGAACTTGCCGGTGCGGTCCGCCTCTGCACCTAATTTAGCGGGTGTGGCCCTTGCCTTCCAGACTGGCCTCAGGTTCCTCTCTTCTCTAAAGGTGGTTCTCCAGGATGGGCCAGGACAGCCCTCCAACTGGAGCCGTCTGGCCACAGAGGCCCGTGCCCTCGCCAGGAGGTGAGTGAACCCCACAGCCCAGGGATGGGGTGGGGTCAGCCCTTCCCAGGGTGTCCAGGCTCAGGGTCTGCCCCAATGTTCCCACCCAGGAGTTGGGGTCAGGTGAGTCCAGAGCTGCCCCGTGCGTAGCCCTTGTCACCACGGGAAGGAGGGGTTCACAGGGGGAGCATGGGCAGAGGTGAGGCGCACAGAGCTTGCTCCGCTGAAAACGTCCGAATGTCGGATGCCTTTTTGTTTGGTAACAGTTTTACTGAGATGCAACTCACATACTGTTTGATTCAGTGGTTTCGGTGTAGTCAGAGTCCACAAGCATGACAGTCAGTGTTAGGACACTGATCTCCAGGACCAGCCTCTGCCCTTGTTTATCTATCACACCTCGCTTTTCTTCAGCCTCCTCAGCTGCTGGCCGCCAAGTACCTGCTTTTTGTCTCTATTGGTTTCCTTTTCGTGGCCAGCGTAGAGTCCTACCATACACAGTGTGCTCCAAATAAACATTTTGTTTGTATTTTAGGGAAGGGTCTACAGGGTGTTCAGGGTCTCACTACTAGATTGGACTCGTAGTGATCCGCCTGTTTACAGCCTCCCAAGAGCTGGGATTACAGGTGCGCGCCACCATGCCCAGTCTCAACTGCCATCTCAGCACACCCTGGGGGCAGGGCCAGCATGGCAGGCCCGGGATCAAACTCCTGGCTCCTGTGCCTGCTTGCAGGCGCTTTAATCCGCTGAGCTATTTGGCTACCTTCAAATAAACATGCTAAAGCATAGGACTGGTGGCAGCATTCTCCTTTAGCCCCACAGACCTTAGCTTCATTTTGTAGACAAGGAAACGGACTCAGACACAGCCTGAAAGTGCCGGTGCCAGACTTTCACCCCGGCTGCCTTGGCCACTCCCTCTGTGCCCTCTGCATCAGGGTGACCACATAACACACCGCTAAGCTGAGGTGCTTTCGTGTGTGATGAAAGGATGCACATAGCTCATCGGTAGCAGGAACGGGTTGGTCCCAGGCTGCAGTCCGTGTCCCCACCCCCGCAGGTGGACAGGTAGAGAGCAGTGGGGTGAGCTCAGGCCCGGCCCCTCCGCAGCAGCACTTGCTGATGGCTGGGCTGTGACCCACACAGCCACAGGGACACTGCTGCTGAGATCGAAGCTGCCGTGCGTCGTGCCCTGCTGGCCTCCAACACCAGCTATGCGCTCCTGTGGCGGCTGGTGGATGGCGGCGTGGCCCTGGAGACCCAGCACAAGCTGGAGGACAGGTGAGACTCCCCAGTGTGGGCGGGCGTGGCCTGGGCTCCAGGAGCTGCCCAAGAAAGGCTGCCGACCGTCCAAGGCGCTCTGCACGTCCGCCCACTCCCGCCGGACGCCTGGACAGCGGTAGGGACAGGCTAGGGGCTCTGCCCCACTCCGCAGGCCATTGTGGCCTCTGTTTCCTCCCAGGTACCTAGAGGTCCAGGCGGCCCAGAGGGCGCTGGGCATGGCTGTGGCCCGGGAGCTTCCCAAAGCCAGGAGGGTGCTGGCTTCCGTGCAGGACGGCGTTGACAGTGCAGCCCCGCGCCTGGCCTTCCTGGCCACCCCTGGAGCCCCGGTCAGTTGGTATCCTCGGAGTGCCATGCAGGTGGGGTGGGGCCATGGGGCAGAGGAGTTACAGGCAGGAGGAGAGGTGCCCACCCGTGGGGCTCAGCAGGGCGTGGGCTCAGCGATCCTGGCTGCTGACTGACAGTAACATCCGGGTGCAGCTTCTGTCCATTCTAGTAACATTAGCAAGGACACCGGGTGGGCGTGGGAGGAAGTCCCAGCTCCGCTCCTGAGCTATGACCTCAGCCAAGCACTTCCCTTCCCTGGGCCTCGTGACGTGGACCTGTCACGTGGACCTCACCTACGAGGTTATGTGAGGGCTGAGTCCTTGGGGCTGGAGAGGACTCAGGGGCCCCTCTGCGCCTGGAACTCAGCTGGTCAGCTGTCTGCGTGTGATCCTGGGAGTCTAAGCTCAGACACTGAGCGATGACAAGGAATAAACTGACCAATAAGCTGGCCAGGGTGTTGCTCAGCGGCACAGCGTGTGCTTAGCAGGCACCAGGCACCGGCTTGTGCTCACAGCTTGGGCACGGGTGAGGGCACAGGTACACACATACACATGTATACACATGCACACACACTCAGAAAAGGCAGCGGGTCTGTACAGCACACTCAGGATGCCGCCTGACCCCAGCCTCCCCACAGCCTCCCCAGTCTCAGGCCATGGACCTGGACCTCAAAGTGTGGGCCCTGGAGCAGAAGGTGGCATCGAGAGAGCACGTGGCCAGCAAGGCTGCCGGGGCCCTCCAGGCCTCTGCCCAGGCAGCACGGCAGAAGATGGAGCCCCTCACGCAGGTCAGAGCTTGACCTTCAGCTGGGGCCCCGGGGGAGCTCTGGGGGTAGGGGTTGCAGGACGGGGAGGGGCAGGAAGTAGCTTGGAGACAGCTCAGGAGGGAATCCCAGCATCCTGAGAAGGAAGTGAGAGGAGAGCAGGTAGACAGAGGTCAGATCTGCCCACCACTGCCCTCAGTGTCAGTTACAGTTGGAATGGGTGTGCTGTTTGTGTTCCTTGCAGATGGGGGAGAGGGTTCACACTGAGCTACATCCCTAGCCCTTTTTATTTTATTTTATTCTACTTTATTTTATTTTGAGACAGTCACTGTTTTCTGAGGACTCACTATATAGTTAAGGCTCACTTTGAACTCACTATGTATCCCAGGCTAACTTTGAATTTATGGCGATTCTCCTGGCTCAGCCTCCTGAGTATCGGGGTGACTGCGTATACCACCATTCCCAGCTTCTTTTTATTTTTTCATTTTTCTTTCTTTATTTTTATTATTTTTCATTTTGAAACAAAGTCACGCTCTCTTGCCTGGGCTGAGCTTAGATTAGGGCCCTCCTGTCTCAGCCTCCCGGAGCGCTGGGATGCCAGGCGGGTCACTGGGCCTGGCTGAGCTTCCCTCCTGCCGTCCTCAGTTGCTGTCCCAGCCGTTCAGTGAGCGGCTGCTGTGAGCCGGCCCTGAGCGGTGCTGAGCCCTGCAGCCGGCCTCCCGTGTCCAGAAGGGGAGATGGCGCTAAGTGATCGGAAGTTCAGGAACCGAGGCATGGTAGGGTTCAGCTGGGCAGCTACTGCCAAGCTACTGAAGTACAAAAGACCTCTTTAAGATGATTTTTGAGAAAAACTTTTCCCTTGCGAACAATTTCAGACTTACAGAGGGTGACAAAGACAGCACAGAGACGCCCACCCCCATCCCTGCACAGATTCCCCTTGGGCTGGCCTTTCAGCCACCATAGTGCAGGGGTTGGAGTCTGGACTCAGGACCTAAGTGGCATCCTGCAAAGTGACAGTGATGGCTTTGTCTGGGTGCCAGCTTCATCTTCCTGCCCAGCCGCTTGGCCCAGGGCCTGGCACCCCATGGAGCTTGACCATGTTGGGTCCCTGTGATAAGGCCTGCGGATCTGCCCTAAACACCCTGGTCCACGTTGAAGAGGGATAACTCCCTGGGCTTCCCTGAGAGCCACATCCCACAGGGCCAGACCTGAGGACAGCACTCAGCCTCCCAGGCGCTGACCTTGCGGGTGTGTGGCAGCAGAGCTGGCTCAGGTTGGCCACTCCACAGCCAGCAGCAGCCCTGTGCAGAATGTCGCCACAGATGTCTCCTTCTCCTGCTGTGCCTGAGCTCTGAGATTCCTCAGAGGAGATTCTCCAGAGCTGCTATGAGGCCAGGGTCTCCCTGGAAGACATGGGGTTTAACAGTTGTGTAATGAGACCGCCCGGTGCTCCTGGTAACCGGTGTGTGTCAGTGTTGGGGCCCTGGTGATGTTTCAGCCTCATCGGTGTGGGCTTGGGACCCACCTGAGCCCTCCAAGTAGCTGCCCCACCTCTCTCCTCTTTCTCTCAGCTACGCCTAAAGGCGACAGCTGCCCTGGCCCAGGCTTCCTTGTCTGTCCAGGCTGCCTCAATGACTGTGACAGGAGCCAAGGCCCTGCTGGCTGACCTTCAAGGTACGTGTGCCCTGCTGGGCCCTTGTCCCGGGCTACATGAACCTGATAGCCACCCACCCTGCCAGGCCCAGTGCAAAGCCGAAGCCCTGTCCCCTGGTCCCCAGAACCTCACACATGTCTCCTAGATCTCCATATCCCTGCTTCCTGGCACAGCCCATGTGACTGTCCCAAGTGGCTCCACACAGAGCCCTTAGGACAAGGGGAGGGAATCAGATGCCACTGGCCCTCCACTTCCGATCTGATCCACTCTGACAGGGGTCAGGTTCCTGGGGCAAATACTGCTGCCCTGGGCCAGGTTGAGCTGGGACCATGGGGAGGTGACCAAGTTTCTCTTTAGAAGGGGGTGTGGGATGACATCAGGCCAGGCCCCTTTGGAGTGTCAGGAAAATGGGGCCAGGAGTTCCTGGCTCACAGGTGGGTAGACTCAGGAAAGGACTGCTGCTCAACCCCGATGGAGCTGAGTAGGGACAGAAACCTGCAAGTCTCGCTCCTGGGCCGCCTCTTACAGGTTCTGCAGTACTGCCCTCTGGGCCCCAGAGAGGCCACCTTGCCCTTCCCCGGGCTTTTTAGCCAATGAGCTACAAGGACAGGAGCAAACCTAAGCCCAGGTGACCCTTGGGGTCTGAGGTCAAGAGCCAGGACTCTGCTGGCCGTGGCCCATGCCCCACACCTGTCCTCCCCATGTGGCTGCAGGCCTCTCCTGGCCATGGCCCATGCCCCACACCTGTCCTCCCCATGTGGCTGCAGGCCTCTCCTGGCCGTGGCCCATGCCCCACACCTGCCCTCCCCATGTGGCTACAGGCATGGACCCAACCTTCTGGGGCAGACAGTGAGGCTCAGAGCCCCATCTCCAGGTTCTCCAGTGGCCCAAAGTCCCAGTCCCAGCTGGTGCCTGTGTACCTAGGCTAACATTTAGGAACATCAGTCAGTGATGCACAGTGGTGGAATAGGATGGGGCTAGAGCTCTAGGTCCATGTAGGTCTTGACGCCATCTGCTTCCAGTCCAGCAGGCCGCTTGCTCCCATGGACGGTGTCGCCTCTTGCTGCTGTCTGGTTCTTAGAGTTCTGCACACTGGATGCAAATCTGTCTCTTGGCCTGCTGCAGAATTCACACAGACCCCAGCTTCATGCCTCACCCGAGCCCCTTCTCCCATTTACAGCCCATTTCAAACTCCCCCTCCTGCCGCATTTAGGAAAATGCACAAGTTGGACATGTGCCAGCTGCCCCTGGTCTCCAAGGCTCTGCCAGCCTCTGCCAAGGGGTGTGGGTTAAATAAGCTTAGGCAATGCTTCAAGCAGGCACATTCTGTTAAGGCCTTGAAGGGCACACTTCCAAATATTCAAGGCCCTTAGCCAGGCATGGTGGGGCACACCTGTCTTCCAGCACTCAGAGGCTGAGGCAGAAGGATCACAACTTCTAGCCCAGCCTGGGCAACTTAGCAATTTTAGGGAGACTCTGTCTCAAAATACAAAATAGGAAGTGCTGGGAAGGTAGCTCAGTGCAAAAACGAAACAGAACCCCCCCAGAGCTGAACAGATGGTGCCGGCCCTGCAGATCCCCACCCCTGCACTGGCCAGGTCCTGGTGGCCGACCTTGTGATTTCCTGACTTAAAGTGATATCACAATGTCACATGCATCTTTCACTCCACCAAGCAGTGTGCCTTGCTCCTTTTTGTTTCCTGTAAGCCCAGGAGGGCGCCACACCGTCTCAGGCATCCCGAACCTCATTCACACTGCCCAGGGCCTGGGGCTGACCAGGCACCACCTGTGACTGGGTGGCGGGCTATCCGGGTGTCAACCTCGTTCTTTGATAGCCTTGGCCGCTCTGCAGGAATGAAGCTGCGATTTCCTCGGCCCAAGGACCAGGCCACGCTGTGGAGGACAGCAAGCATGGTCAGGGACCGGCTCCTGGCAGACACCAGAAGGAGGACCCAGCAAGCAGAGAGAATGCTGGGAAATGCGGCATCGCTCTCCTCCAGCGCCAGGAAGAAGAGCAGAGAAGCAGAGCTGTTGGCCAAGGACAGCGCCAAGGTCAGGACCACGGTTATGCAACAACGGCTTCCCTCCCTCTGAGCCAGTGGCAGGGACAGATAAGGCCGCCTTCTGGGGGGCAGACTCTGCCCAGGCAGATCTGCTCCTTTCCTGGTCCAGGATGGAATATTGCACACTTCCAAAGGCCAGTGCGTCCTCCACGCTGGGCTGGCAGCTTCACCTGGGTGACCTTGTTGATTCCTCACAAGACAGGTGTCGCCGCAATTCCCGTGGCATGTGGTGAGGGCCCTGAGGCCCAGCTAGCCTCAGAATTAAGTCACAGCCAGGGGTGGTGGCCCATGCCTATGATCCCTGCCCTGGGGAGGCCGAGGCAGGAGCATGGCTGCGAGGCCAGTCTTTCTGCATAGTGAGCTCGAAGTCAGCCTGAAGTGCACCGTGATAGGTTCCAGCCCCAGTACGAATTGCTGAAACCATCATGGTGGTCATCTAATATGGCTGAAGCCCTTAAAACGAAAGCCCATCTTCCCAAGACCACCTCCCGCCTTCTTCTCCAGCTCAGCCCAGGGTGCGATTTCCTCTCACCCTTCCCACCACCTCAAGGAAGCCCCCCAGCCAGCTCCCCCAGGTATATCTAAACATCCCCTTCCCGCTCCACCTCTGACAGAGGGCCATGAAAGCCTCAGCCTCCCTTTGTTCTGCTGCAGAGAGTTTCTCGTCTTCCCCACATTCTCTCGGTGTCCTCAGAGATTGTGAAGCCCCTTTCCCCTTTTCCTTCTGCCTGTTTCTCTGCTGTACCGGATGCCTGAAAAAACCTATCATATAGCAGACCCTGTTCCCAAAAGACAAAACAAAACATCCGGGAGGGTAGCTCAGTGGCATAAGCACCTGCCTGGCCAGTGCAAGGTCCTGAGTTCAATCCCTGGTACCCCCAAAAAGAAAAGAAGATACACACACACACACACACACACACACACACACACACGGATAGAATTAAGCTCCACTTTAGCTGGATATGGTAGCATCCTTAATTCTTATAATCCCAGCACTCAGGAGGCTGAGGCAGGAAAATTGCCACAAGTTCTAGGCCAGCGCGGACTGTATAGTTGGCTCAGAGGAAAAACCAAAACCGAAATAAATAAAACAAAGAATTCAGTCCCAAGACTGGGACTGAACTTGTCCTAAACTCACTCCTGGG